CGAGCATACAGCATACCAATGCAAGCGGGGCGCGGAGTTAGATACACATCTTATTGTTTTCAAAGTTAAGTTGTCTAGGGTCGAAGTTGGCAACCGTCCCTATTCCCGGGGTTCTACGGTTTAGTAACCGGCGAGCCGAGCATTCCGTTATAATTTCCACTGAGGACTCTCTCGTAAATGCATTAATTGATTGCAGACATTATCGAATCAGTTCGGTACGGTCGCAGAATGTTCAACCCGTTTTAGGAGCCAATATAACTGATGTAAATCTTAAACAACGTTCCGTCCGAATCAATGGAAGCGGTAAATGCTTAACGATAGGATATACAGCAGATTGCTAATATTAAGCTATTTCGAATTAATCTATTGGCGTTGTTTCGAGTAAGTGCCATAAACTCGAATTACATGTAGTCATTAATTTGTGACACCACATAAAAATTAAAACTTAAATTAATTAAACATTTTTATATTTACTAACATTCTAATTTATTATCACTTATTTAAAATAAGTCTTCAAGAACTCTTCAATTCTAATTCAACAATTTCACGGGTTCTTTCAGTTTTTTATCCTCATTGTTGAAAATAATTGGAGAACCAGGTTTTCGATTACCTTCTTAAAACTAAAAGGTAAAAGAGATTTCTAGAATTGTTCTTCTAACTTGTAATCGGTTGACACATAATTTAAATGTTAGTATTATTTATGTAATACCTTTCCCGTATTAATCCGTTATATCGAGGTTTTACTGTAATGTCAAATTATATTGACATGTTGCATTTTATGGTTTCTATGGAAATATATTTTAGTACATATATTGGATCGAAATTCACTGTATTTTTAGTTTCGAGAGAATTTAATTGAAACAAAAATGTAATCAAAAAGCAATTAATATAAATATGAAATTTATTCGAGTAGAAATTGATAATTAAAGTGACGTTACAGTTACATAACTTGTATGATGAAGATGCCGTCCGCAAGTGGTCATTTTGAGCACAGTTTGAAACTACTTGAAACTCAATTACCATACCATTCTAAAGTAGAGAATAACATGAAACTTTGAATTGGTGTCACGAACAGATCGATCATTCCTCTAATTATATTATTATTATAGTTTGTTATTAAAACATTATTACTCAAGAATTTATTAAGTAAAATTATTAAAAATTAATTTTGATAGTTTAGTACTTGAGGCTATTATTATCGTACCCTGATCGATTTTAATCGCACAAGTTGCCGAAGTTTACCTTGCTGATAATCCAGGCACAGAATTATTATTCTTCACCGTAGGATTTATGCGATTCGCTATCGCCGTTATTCATAGGAAGTTCCGGTCGGGGCGCCCGCCATTGCGTTATCGTGATAAATTATTATAAGTGCGCGGGGAGTATCTCGTTCTCCCTCTTCGTTTCTCAAATAGACAGAAACGGTAGGATAAGAAACGGAAGGAGCCCTTTTGCACTTTGCGCTTTCAACTGCACATAGTACAATAGGTATGTGTAACGGTCGTGGGTACGTCCGCACCGAAATACTTGCCCGGGATTTATTGTTTTATCTCCAACCGGGGGCCAGATCGAGCATTACTTCTTCTACCGCGTTCCACTTCCAGCTATCTCAATTTAAACTCTAATTGCGTTTAAGTAAAATAATTATTTAAATTGTGCCGCCGGCAAACGTGTGGCCCGGCATAGATTGTGGCCGGAACCCCCATTGTTACGCGCCGAGAATTTTATTAAGCCGGTGAAATTTACATGGGCTGGACGGTACCGTATAATTGTTCTTGTTGCGAAATGGCTTAGTTAATCGCGTACGGTCAGGTAGGAAAGAGTAACGTGTCATTTGGTTTATCTCGCACTTTAAATTAGAGTCACGCCCTTATCTAATACCGTTCTATATAAAGATATAACTACCCGCATTCATTCACAATTAATAAACAGTAAGTGTAGAAATTTCATTTACATTTCTAGTACATTTTTAAAAGCGTACTATTTCAAGATTCCATGATAACATCAAATTATACCCGGGGCTCAATGTGTTAAGTCGTATTCCAGGTGGATATATTAATCATTGAAATAGCTACCCTTAGATTATCAACTCTGATTGATGTAAGAGGATATTATATACAGTTCTGAATTAAATAGGGTTTTTCTGATTTTACTTGCATAACACATCTAGTAATAAAGCTGTAGATGAGCTAGATTTGGGTCATTTGTTTTTGCCATTAATTCTTTTAAAAACCATATAAAAACTTCTAACTTGCGTTTATTTATATAAAGTCGTACTAGTTTCGGGTTACCCCATCATCAGCGACAAAGTCAATGAAGCTATAAAAGGTGCAGACTGGAAATCAAGAGAAAGTAAAGCATTTTGCTATCTGATGGATAAACAAAATGAAGATAAAGTTGAAAAAACAAATGGCGACGTTAAAAAATGTGGAATGTTAAAAAATTACAAATTCGAATAAATCTTTAAGATCGTATTAAAGATGTGTTGGTGGGATGAGATGAGGCGAAACTATAGATATATTAATCATTGAAATAGCTACCCTTAGATTATCAACTCTGATTGATGTAAGAGGATATTATATGTATACAGTTCTGAATTAAATAGGGTTTTTCTGATTTTACTTTCATAACACATCTAGCAATAAAACTGTAGATGAGCTAGATTTGGGTCATTTTTTTCCATTAATTCTTTTGGTTAAGCATTTTAACACATTGAGTTATCTCATGATGTTTTGCACCGACAATATTTAGAGTACTCGCAAATAGTGTACAGGATTTATGCCACCATTCTGCAGGTTCAACACTCCACTTCACGAATTCATAAATTTTTTATGAGCGATTCGCTTCACTTTTAATATGAGAGTGGGAGAAGCTGAAATTTATTAAATTTACTTTTGGAACGTGAAAAGCACTTTATTTCAGATTCCATCAATCTAGGAATACCACACAAATATTTAATCGTTGTATTAACTTTTTCATTGAAAACTTCATATCGACCTGAATCGTCAACATATTGGAAAAAACAAAAGTACGTGATTTGCTTCAGCCTGTTGTGTATTTACTGAGCTCTCGCCTCTTTTTTTTCGATGTTGTTATATATTGAAGTTCATGGTGGGGTGGGTAAATTTATTTTCCGTCCGATAAACCCGGCGCTGTCTGTATTTATTACATCGCTTAAATCATGCCCGACCACAGTATCTCGCGGAATTTATCTGGACACATATTAATTAGTTAATAACGGCATCCTGTCTTCTGTTGACGAATATATATGGTAGAGATAAATATTAAAATATCTAAAATTAGCTGTCTGATTCGGTGAAATATGTTGGAGAAAGTGAACAAAATATTTTAATAAAAAAATACATTTTTCTCCCATTCTTTGAAATTCAAGTTTAATAAACTTTCTTAACCTACAATGAATACGTGACAAATACAAAAAAGAAATAAATTATACGGTAAATGGGATTAGGAAGTAAGTCCTAATAACGGAACCTGAAGAATGAATAATGCCTGGAGGTCGTGACCGGTCATGAGGTCCACGATACGATCCATGTGACATAAATTTACTAATTGACCCAATGGGTCACATCTGACCATTTCCATTTTAAGGGTAACAGTAATCAATAATTGTTTTTAATGATTCAACTTGAAATTAACGTTAAGAACTCCTCAAATAAAAAGAACGCCACAAAGAGACACTTCAAACGTGTAAATAAAGTTCTCTTTAGGGTGGTGTAAAGTAGACGAGCACTTATGACACTTATACAAAGCCGATATTGCTGAAAAATTAATGCCTTCGTTATGTTGCGTTACAAGAGCTCCGCCAACAGCAATTAAAAGAGCAACAAGTTAAATGCTCACTTTTTTTTCTCTACTTCAAATATAAGTAGGTGATAATTTTACGATATATTTAAATTATTTTAGTTCAAATTCGAGGTGAATTATAAAAATTTTATGTGTATACAGTGTGTGCCAAAAAGTCAACAACTTCTTTTGGTTTCATTAATACGTAGTAATTAAATCCGAGACTGCAGTTTTTGGTTAATATAACATTAATCACTGAGCCTCGGCTGCAAGCAACCTTGGCTTAAATTAGGCAGCCTCACCTGATAAAATCGAGGCCGTGTGCAGCCGAGGTGCAGTAATATAATGACCAGTTTTAAGCTAAATAACATTAATCAGCGAGCTTCGACCGCAAGCAACCTCGACTTAACCCTCCGCATGCGAGCTTTGACACACCCCGGAAATAAAATACTATTTCTATAAAATTTTACATAGAACACGAGCTCGTGCGTCTTTTTTGTTTTTAAATTTTTTTAATTTTCCTGAAGGTGGAGTATGTGATATCTAACCTCGTATGTGGAGGGTTAATCAGATAAAATCATACACAAGCTTCACTTGATAAAATCGAGGCCGTTTGCAGCCGAGGCGCATCAATATGATGACCAGTTTTTAAAACGAACAAGACGTTGCTGCCATTTTGGCACACACTGTATATATCAATGTTACCTCCATTTCGTTTCTTTTATAGTTTTTTTAGATCCTTTCAAAGGTAGACGAGGAAGACCAACGAGAATAGAAAGGGAAAAAAACAGAACAAAACAGCTCCACCTTATGTGATTACTATAATTTGCATAAGCCCGCGCACAAAGTAAATATAGCAATGTAACCTTGCCGCTCGCCGTTCCGTTGTGCTTTTCTGCACTGTAACTTTCAATCCCTGCACATGAAATATGCATACCTCGATCGAACGGTCCAGAAAGAGGCAACTTTCTTCCGCGAAAAAGAGCATACAATTTAAGCAATCAAAATTTGTAAAACTTTAAACAAAACACTTTATATATCGGATACTAATGTTTTTTAAAACTATAAATGTTGCATTCGAAAAACGCATTATAATTTGTTTCTTTTGTCAACTACTCAGGAAGGGAATTTGAAAATGGAGTAGAAGACGCGATAAATCCCTATAACACAGTGACAATTTGGAAGAGTTTACTTACGGTCGAAGACATCCAACGTTGCTTCGGCACTGACAGCATCGCCGACGCCGTTTTCGGCGACACATTCATAAGTGGCATCATCCCTGGAGGCTTTGACGGGTTCAATCCTGAGCAGAGCGCCGCCGTCTGGAAATTCCTTCACCTGGTAGCGAGATTGCGAGCCTGAAAACGAAACCCGTGTTAGAACTGACCCAAATCCCGTACATACAACGTCGGATTTTAAACGAACTCCCCCCGAAACTGCTAAACTCACATTTCCCAATCTACCGCAGACACACTACTAAACGCGTCCTGACCTATTTTAAACATATAGCTTTCTAAATTGCTCAAAAACATTTTAAATGTTGACCGTATCTCAAATCGTGTTCGATCTCGTTTAGAAAATTGGTTGTACAAATTAATTTACCAATCAATTAATTTTTTAAAAATTATTTAAAGTGTTTTTAATTCGAGGTAAACAAGATATTTTAATACTATGTTCGAAAATTTTGTTGTTTGGACATTAATAATGATGATACTTATAAAATATTAATTGTTGTATAATTAATTTAATTAACATATTACACCAATGGAACTATTATGTAGTATATACATATTTACATTTAATTAAAACGCATAGATTAAAATAAATCCGTTGAAATTTAGACAGATAATAAGTAGCTGCTTATTAAATTATAGAGTTGACTATAAACAGATTATTAATTTAATACATTTACAGTTATAATCATTTGCAGAAAATCTAACCGCGATCCGATGTTATATTTTGCAGTATGTTCGTTATTTGTTATTAATTCAATTATTGCAATACCACAAGCATGCATGTAATTTAATTCCACCGTTATGGTAGGTTTTGTTTAATTAATATACTCATATAAATTTTCAATTTTATAAAGTATAAATATTTTGCTTCCAAAATTACATTAAAAAACAAGTTTGATTTTGAAAATATAATATTTATATATATTTTACTACTGAATAACAACTAAAACTAGAACTAACACTATCCCTAGAACTAACACTAGACCTAGAACTAGAAACATTCGGATTTAGCCGCACGTCTCTCAAGACGGCTAAACCCGAATGTTTCTAGTTCTAGGTCTTGTGTTAGTTCTAGCGATAGTGTTAGTGCAATACTAGAACCAACACTAGACTAAGAATTAGAAACATTGGGATTTAGCCGTACGTCTCTCAAGACGGCTAAACCCAAATGATTCTAGTGCTAGGTCTTCTGTTAGTTCTAGAGATAGTACTGGTGCAAAACTAGAATTAACACTACACCGCAAACTAGAAACATTCGGATTTAGCTGCATGTCTTTCCAGACGGCTAAACCTGACTGATTATAGTTCTAGGTCTTGTTTTAGTTCCAGTGATAGTGTTAGCGTAAAACTAGAACTAACACTAGACCTAGAATTAGAAAGTAACGGGAATCTGAAATTTTCTAGTTCTGGGTCTACCTGTTATTCAATGCTAGATTGTTGTACATTTTTATTGAAGTAAAAGTAGAATTAACACTAGACCTGAAACTAGAAACATAGAATTTATTTAATGAAAACACCCATGTAACTTTTCAATTTCATAAATTGTAAATATTTTGCTTCTAAAATTAGATTAAAAAACAATTTTGACTTTGAAAATGTAATACTTATATGTTGCAGTAATCGCTTTCTTTTTAATCCACATTGCTCATGTGGAATTTTCTAAAATCTCAATTGCCAGTAGTTGCCGAGAAGGAAGTCGAGGATTAAACTTTTTCGTTTTCCGGATCGGTTTAATCTCTCGACGTTTTGGTTCGCTACGAATACTCGTCGTTCAGTTCCGAGTTTAGAGTAAAGATATAACTCGGGTCGTATTCGCTGTTGCATATTTGGTTTACCGCTCACGGTCGCAATGTATTCTGTCACAGTTCACAATTAAGATTGCAATTTTGCTAGTTACAACTTTTAACTTTTCAGTTTAACAGTTCAATGTGGCACGTTTCTGAATTAAAGCACGAATTTTACACATGAAAATGTTAACTTTGCGAATTTAGTTGGATTCTACCGTAGTACTCTACAATCGCGTCCGGGAAAAGTTGTTCAATTAATGCAAATGATCTATGTAAATTTATTTTAAACGAACGTTTAGATGTTAAATTGCTTGGAAATCATGTTGATCGCAAAAATAATTTATATGTTAAATAAAAAAAGCCGATTAAAAATGTTAGTCAACAACCATAATGTAGTTTTTCCGTTTCAAGGTCATCAGAAATGAGTAAATATTCGCTCGTGGATGTAGCTCGTTGCAGTACAAAGAAGCTACGGAATTGAGCGCAGCACTAGCGGTAATACCGTCTCTCAATTTTCACTTGGTAAGCTTTTGTGCGCGAAGTTAATTGAATGCTTTTCCAAAAAGAGTAGTTTAGCAAAGTGCCCGTTGCTCGGGGATTTTATGGTGTAGTGCGACCTGTCGATATAACGCATTAGTTGAGGAAATAACATACTTCAGATTTCTTGATAATCATTCAAATTCCTTTTTTGTGTTTGAGTTGGTGTTAGTTAACACATCAAATTTCGACAAATTAGAATCGATCGGTTATGATTAATATTATATGTAGCTATTCTCCGTTACATAGACAATCAGAGTCCATCTATTATAGTGTTGAAATATACTATATCATGCAATGAGAGAACAATATAGATGTTCCAATCTGTGATAGTGTACGTATTACTATATCTGCATCAACACAATTAGATTAAATTACTAACGTAAAATGACTCAAAACTTTATTATATGATTGTAAAAAAAGGGTATTAAAGAGATGTAAAAATTGTCTTGGATAACTATTCCATGTTTTGAAAGGTTTGTAATCGTGGAGTTTATAAGTTGTATGAAAAGAACGATATCGAATGCGACCCAAGCAGAAACGCGGGCACATATCCAAAAGACGTTTCAACGGCGAAAGCCACCATTTATTTGATTAAACGCGACGAAAGATTGTTCCGCAGAGTTTACGGATCGGTAGAGGTCGCTTTCGATCGTGAGCACTACTTCCGTCGTGAAACTATTACATTCGATGCTTGGAAGGATCCATTTCAACAGGTATAGAACAGCCATCAGGAACCGACGGTGGAACTGCCGCCATCACTACTACTACGTACTGCTATTGCTACTACGACTATGACACGGTAACAAAGCGAATGAAGTGCTTTTGGGTTAGTGTCGGGAGTTTGTAGGAACCGACATCTGCTATCCGATAGGTCGATAAATGAGGTACGCGTGACGATAAAATTAGATCATATAGGTTTATGAAGATTAGATATTCCTGACTGTTCTGCGCAAATTATCTATTTATTTGAACATGATTGATTTTAATAAAAAGTCCGAAATTGGATTTGTTACTGATTTGGTGACATCAAAGCCGATGTTCTATATATTTAATGTTCTTTCAATAAAACAATATGACTAATTGAAATTGGACAAATTTGAATCAAATGGGACCGTAAATGTAATGGTCAATAAATGAGTTCGGTACAAACGCGAACACGCATTGCATATGATGAAAATTTCAGAGTAACATTGTTTGGTCATACGCACACATTGGTCATGATCAATAATGAACAATTAATTGGAATTCACGCCACCGCGAGCTTTTAACCGTATGAGACCAATTAATCACTCCATTTATGAAATTATACTCGGAATCTAAACAACATGTTCGTTTAAGCACGTATTTTGTTACCTGCTCACCTTAATTCGTGTAAACATGACTAATATATGTGCTTAAGTGGTTTACGACGACATTTTAAATGTATAACAGTACCGCAACTTGTGCAAGAAAAATTTATTACAAAGGTACGTCGAGTGTTCAATTTAGGTTCCAATTTAATACTGACATTTTTGTAATTATTTAGACGTAAAAGGAAACATATTTCACCATTAAGGAACAAATTAAAAATATATTCTTTATAACGTTTTTTCTAGTTCTTTTAAATTATGTTTGAGATCAAAGCGGGGAAGTGACAGTCGATGGCAAGAAGGGAATTGTGGTTAAAGTAACTTGTTTTGACGGGATTTACTATTATAACGTACGGGGGACTTTTCTTGCTCGTCTAGACTATTTTTTTCTGGAGTACCTCAATCATTCTGAATAAAAACAATTTGTTGCTTTGATACTTTATAGCACAAAATTTGATTAGAGATGTTTGTTTATTTAAAACTGGTAAAAACGTATTCTTTTTGGTAAAGTTAACGATTCAATATCATTATTTTTTAAAGGTCGTTCAACTATAAAATGTATAAAACTTGGCTTTTATGTAATAATTTAGCTTCATAATTTTAATAGGGTTATATTCCTTTTAAAAGGATTTAAAAGTAGATGATTCAAGGTACGAGTTTGTAATAAAATGTTACTTCTATAAGATTACTTTAGAAGTGGGATAATGTTCTTGGAAAAAGTTTTAAAGAATTTTTAAAGAGTTTTTGAATTAGTTTAGATTATTTCAAGGAAATATTGAAGTACATATTGAAACATAACTTATTTAATCATAATAATAGGTTTTATCTACGACTGCTTGGATAAGTCATCATTACCGCACTCATTTGAGGTGATTTGAGTTACGTAATGAAGTTCATTACCGCACTGGTTTCATTACGTAACGCATTTTTAGCCTAATCAGAACAGACTTAATTTATTGAAACGAGCAACAATACAAAAGAAAAAAGGTTATCTACTTACAGAGAAACAATATTATTTATTATAAACATTAATTGTTATGTTCTTACATTTCGAAACACTTATTCCAGATGAGTAAACATGTTGTTGAAACTCACAATTCAAAATTGTCAACAATCATTTCAAAATATTTTTATAAATGTCAAAAAGACCTTTTTAAAGAAATTGATTTTTTAGTAATTTTTAGCAGTCGTAGATAAAATGCTGTATATCTGCATATCTCGTGTGATTACACGACTCGGTCTACGACCTCGTCGTACAATTCTCCACACTCGTACAGTAATTATGTTTCTAGCCCACTTGTAATATAAATAACTATTATTACTAATTTAAGTTAGTACAGTAAAACTACTGTCTATACCATGTAAAATCAAGGACGGTAGTTCTAGTTTTCATTGTTATTCAACGCTAGATTGTTGTATATTTTTATTGAAGTAAGACTACACCTAGAACTAGAATCATTCGGGTTTAGCCATCTGGAGAGACGTGCGGCTAAATCTGAATGTCTCTAAATCTGAATTCTAGTTTTAATTGTTATTCAGAGTTAGATTGTTATATATTTTTTATTAAACTAATCGAATGAATATAATTAAGAATAACAAAGAATAGCAGTATGAACAACTTGGGTTTATTTCATTTTTATTGAAATTTATCGCATCTTAAAGCGTACAATGTATATGAAACTATATTAAAACAATTTTTTGTGTTTTAAAGATTAATCAAAATAAATACTTACCCGGCACCTTCTTTCCATTTTTCTTCCACTGAATAACGGGAGCTGGATCTCCCCGTGCGGCACAGAAAAAAGACGCTATTCCGCCAGCTTTGACTTGCTGGTTCCTCGGTCTCTGCGTTATTTCAGGCGGATCTGCAAACAAAGTCTAGGATTAAGATCTGGCAGACATCTCGAATCGCTCGAAATGTCCTCCTTTCAGCATTTGCGAATCCGAAATTCGAGTTCGGTCTAAGGTAAAGAAATGTATGCTGAAGGAGAAAACTGTTCCAATGTAAATATGAAGTTCGGTTTAAGGACGTGAACTGTACGGTTTCACGATAAGTTTCTATGGGGTACTCAAAACTATTTAGATGTATGAATATCTCAAAAAGTCTGTAACTTTTACGATTAATAATGCGATTAGGGCTTTGTGATTTATGTGGCAATTACAAATTTTATTCTGCAATGAAAATGGTGTTACTTGGTATTAAAAGGTGGTTAACTTTTAGAATAATATGTATTGCGTGACAGAAACAGCGGAAGTTCCTTCAGATTCCAGTTAACCGTGTTCAAGGTTTTCAATCAGTTAAAGTCTGAAAAATTACTGAACCCCGCGGTTATGAAAATTAGTTGTTATTTTCTAGACTCTTAAAGTTAATGATAACATGTTTACATACATTTCTAACGATAATAAAACTTTTTAAATTATGTGGTATTTATTGAAATTGTTTGTTTTTAAACAACATTTAACTAGGTGGTAATTATATACGACCGGGAAAACATTTTGTTCTTTGATCTCGTATTAGATCAAACAGTAACGTGATAGGTGCACGTCCCACTTACACAGGTGGAACACCCAAAAACAACAAGACAGTTGCCCTGTTCCGCTTTTCCGAGCAGCAAGAATCGATCGCAATGATGCTTCGGCTTCAGGAAACTGGATACTTTTAACGTTCTTTATCTTTTCTTTTTCGATTTTATTGGATATCTTAAGTTTGCCATATTAAAATTTAAATTAAAGACATTTTGTATAAACATATCGTATATCTAGGAAAGATACCATCGCAGTGTCCACACAATTTGAGTTAAATACCAAGTTAATAAGCAGTTTAAGACCGGGACAAAGCCGTGTTGGTAACAATACCGAGTCTAGTTTGGACTCTGAATGTTACAAAATCTCTCGGAGTGGGACTCCGTTTGGGTTGAACTTAACTTACGTGTTAAATACTGGATATAAGGAAAATCCGAGTAGTTCCCTCCTGAAATTCAAGTTTAATACTTCATTTCGTGGACCATATAGTCGCGTCATCGCGCTCTGTTTTGAGGGTATATTAACGACGGTTGTTTGCGAACTGTGTCAAGTATAAACACGCACGGTGTTCATTGTTTTAGCAGGCTGATTATGAAAGTTCAAAACGCGGTTTCACTCCTAGTTTAAATTAGACCAGTGGTTAATAAAACAATACTTAATCACGAAGTAAATTATTGTTGTTTTAAAACAATGAATACTTGTCAATTATGAGATAATAATTAAATTATTATAAAAAATTATTCTACATCATGCTACTACACATATACATCAAATATTTCCATTTAAAAGCCATGCAGAAATTTTATTTTAAAACATACGTTCAGTTTTAATACGAGTTTGAAATTGTATTAGTTAAATGAAATTAAAAAGTTTTTAATGTCTCCAATCATATTAAAATGTTTTTGCAGATGATGGATATAGACGAGTTTTTGATTGATCTGTTTTTACAAACTATTAATAAATTTAATGTCACTTTGTGTACAAACTATGGTTTATTTCTTTACGAATGGGGAGATGTAGCCCCAATCTCATCGGCATCCGAAAGTGTTCCATTAATTATGCATTATCCCACTTCAACGTGGGCGGTATTGGAGGGAGCAATTTCAAATTGATTTTTTGTGTGTCGCGCAATACTGACGCTACACCTTCGTTTTTGCTTTCAACAAGCAAATTTCCTCCAATGAATTTTTAACGTGTCACCTGAGTCGGTATTTCTTCGCAATTCGTGTTTACCTCGTAACTTTTAGACCAAGATAAAGTCATTTTCTTTCGTGTAATTTACTATTTTATTTATTACTTAGAAATATAATGATTATTTTGCTTATAAACCAATACGAGTGTAACATGTAAACATATCGCAGAAATTGTCAGTATGACAAACATGGATCAGGTAGGATTGTGGAATGGCTGGTGGTACCGTGCCATAGCCACGAGCTATGGGACAGTCATAGGCGAATGTATAGCGCAATTAAACATGGGATACGTTTGCGTAATGAATCCGTCGATTTAACAGTACGCAAACATATCGCGTGAACCGAAAATGGACGATTCGTTCGCCGAGAATGATTTATTATGCACGGTTGGCTTAAGTATGTTATTTGCCCGGACAGGGGCTGTCAAATATTCGATCGGTAAGCCCGAACGGGCCGAAGATAAACGCCCAGACCGATTTATCGTTCAGGATTAAATTATATAAATCACCACAATAGCGTATATATGACCTCACCGACACCGGTGCCAGTATTGCATTAGATCGTTTCGCAAATCCATAATTCAATATTCAGATTATAAAGGCGCCGCAGAGACGCAGAGACGGAACCAGCGCGGAGAAGCTTGATATATGCGAGCCAAGATTGCTTATGGATCCGGGGGAAATTTTTCAATTGTATCCTCGGACCAGTTTATTAAACGTCGAATATATTGCATAACGTTTATGGTATTCAACCCAAATCTTACACTTCCTATTCCACTTGTCGGTTTGTACAGTGCGTTAATACATTTATATACCCATTCATCTAATTTGGAAACGATTAATAACAATCACTATCAAGTATTGTGTATTAAACATAAAGACGAATACCTCAAGGATGATGGCAGGAAACTTAAATCATGGATGATGAAAGAAATTTTGATGCTCATGGAAGAACGAAAGAAGTTGGATGAGAAATGCCATGAAATTGAGGTTTTGCAAGACAAATTTTACAAAGTACACCTCTTGGTAATCCACAAATATACAGCATCTTTCAGTGCTTGACTTTTGCAGTACTTGCTGTTTTCCTTAGTTTAGATTCATCAGGTGCATATAGCTCGGATGCAAAATTCAAAATGTAGTCTTTCTTGTTTTTGATGTCCGATAATGTAGCCCACTTCACAAGGTGCGATCCACCTTGACCCTTCTCGAGTCTTCAGGAATTTCCTTTTTACTGTCACATGAAAAAAATGTATATTTCGTTGTTACTAACATAATGCAAATTCAATTACGTAAACATCAAAAAACAAAACTGTATAAGGGGAATTTCATATAACTTGCAATATATGAATGCTGTAATCATAGTTACGAAACTACAATGCACTTGCACTGTCTCACATAAAATGCAACATAGCTTAATCCAACCCAACCCAACCCAACCCTGAGTCTTCGGTCGTTTTAAGAGACGCACGGCTAAACCCGAATGTTTCTAATTCTAGGTCTAGTGTTAGTTCTACATCTGGTTCAATAAAAACATACCACAATCTAATGTTGAATAACAATTAAAACTATAACTAACACTAGACTTAGAACTAGAAACATTCGGGTTTAGCCGCACGTCATTCAAGACGGCTAAACCCGAATGATTCTAGTTCTAGGTCTTGAGTTAGTTCTAGTTTTAGTTCAATAAAAATATGCAACATAGTGATATCTTATGTTAACTAGCGTTACCTACCACTGTCACTAGAACTAGAAACATTCAGACATGTTGCATTTTATGTGAGATAAAGTAAGTAGGTACGCCCTTGTTTCTATGGAAATATATTTTTGTATATTGCATCTTAAATGAAATTCATTGTATAAAAGACACTGTGTAAACAAATTAACACGGTGGGGACAACGCAAAAAAATGTGTCAAATAAGTTAGTTAATAGTGTTCTGATACGATCGAGTACACGTAATTTGAACTTACCGACAACAGTGTTCAAAGTTGGTAAATAACTCCTTGTCAAACCGGTAATAGGCCGTTACCGTAATAAATAGGAAGCTATAAATTTCATTAATACGTGTAAGTTGTTTAGTTGTATATTCGATAAGATAATCAGTAAGCCTTTAATATAAACATAGCTACCACCTACTAGCGCATCCGAATTGGGTTACATACAAACTTTGTAATATTTCCTTAGGTATATATACGACCTTACCTACTAAGAAGATATACCTCGAACTCCTTCTATTGACAATCTTCGTCGAAAATTTGATTAGGTGTAATTGAGTTGTTCCTTGGGCGTTAGTTAGAAGCGTAGATGTAATGAACAAACACAAGAGAAATTAGCGCAAACCAATTTTTTTTTGTTTTGAATCGATAAAGCTATAATGAGTACTTGTTGTGGAGATCAATATTCATTTTTATTTATGTACGCATGAAATGGAAGGCTAATGATTGACGACGATCGGGAAAATTTAATAGATAGGGCTCGGCCTGCGGACCTTTAATACTAAAGTGCGCGTCATTAAAATTACCTGCCGTATCTGGCACACAGCTTGGCCAGAATGGGGTGCCCATGATGAATGAGCTCCTCAAACCACTTCATCCAGCAGAGCTAGATTTATGATATTAGGTTTTAAAAATATGCAAACAGCCGAACCGGATGGCTTTTTGTGGCGAGGAAAAACTCTGCCCGGATTATCCTGAAGCGTGCACCCTCACGAAGATATATAGTTCATCGGATACGATGTTAATATCATGTTTAACGCAACTATTATTTACACAACCACATTCCGACGTCGGCATTTTTCACGAGAGAATGTTGCTGGGGGTTTGCGAACCGTGTGATATACTGGGTTAAGCATTCATCTTGTAAAATGCATGTTTCGCATAAAGATATTTTCCACTTGTTCTGAAGACATTAGATGAAACGAATGTGACTCCCGGCGTTTTAAATTGGACGCTACGTTTTATGTTTATCCGTAAACTAAATTTCATACAGGTGGTTTTGATTATTTTCTTATCTCTCATTTATGATTTTCATTTTCCTATTAACTTTGTTAAAATTTATGCCACCCCGGGGAACTTAAAGTTTTGGCAACTATCCACCTTTCAGTACTTGAGCCTGTTGGGAGTCGGTGGAGTTGGACATTTAAACGAGTCTGCAGTGGCGTCCAGGAAAAAACCGCTCGCAATTTGGGTTTAATTGTGACAAAGCGGCGGGCTTTGTAGAATACGCCACAGCTTTCCGACACTGGAACCGATAATCTGTGATCGGGGAAGGGTAATTTATCTTTGTCCGACGATCGTAGTTTATCGGAATACATCTCCGGTAATAAATAGGAGAATTTTATAATCCGGCGTGAGGCCGGCCGTGGCGCATTGCTTCCATCGACCGACGTTGAATCTCTCTCTCTCTCTCTATCTCCTTTTACACCCTTATTTTATCCCAACATTGGTCGGTTGGGGCGCCAATTTCAACCGCTCGTATACTTCGATTACGAAATTTATTTGATATCCCCTTTTAAATATCAGCAAGCGTATCGCTTCTATAGAATTTTTATCTTTATCTAACAGGTTAAATCGATAAAATTAAATAAAGCTCCTATAAATTAATTATTTTTTGTTTAGTTAGTGTTTTGTTGATTATATCCTATTTCCAAAATCTGTAATTGCAGCAAGATTCTTCAAAGTGTAATTCCCAGTGACGAGGAAAGTTTCGGGGAGAACCGTTGATATACTGCGGCGTTGATGTTACGAGTACAACGCCAGAGGGTGGAATGCCGTGCATACGTCAAATTAATTTCAGCGATGTAGGCAAGTCTGGCAGGGAAACGAACGCTAGGGGTCAAAGTTGCTTCTGCTCGCCGGAAAGAAGCGATTGTATCACTTGGCGTTTGCAGACGACGGAAATGCAAATTTACGCGGAGCTTTCATGCGTACCGCGTGCGGTGACAGGTTTAGTTACGTTTCGCTTCGAGACTATACACCCCATCACACTACCCTACCTACGGAGTAGTAGGTTCAATACAATCGTGCTTTTCCATTACTTAAGCAGATTTATACATGTATTCTGTCACCATGAATGACGGAGTGGATTGCTGTTAATATTGAATGCGTTACACAGCCTTCGATGAATATAATCGTCACGAGTGGTGCACAAAAATTATATCAAGAAGAAATTTAATAATATTAATATTATGTACGAAATGTTATTATCAATAAATTCGACGCAGAAACTATAAAAATGGAAACTGAATGATCGAGTGAT